AATGAGCTCCATGATCATATGTGTGAGCCTTGCAACATATCCAAGCCATCTTCACCGTCATGGCATGAGTTGCTCACACAAGTGTACCTGTGGACTAATCACCTGTGTATCTCATATTTAAACACATTAGTCCACCTAGGTTGTCACTCAATTTTCAAAACCAAACTAGGACCTTTCAAAAGTCACTAGCTTCATCATCATCATCACTTGATTCTTCATTCTTTGACTTGCTCTTGCTCTTGGATGATGTGCTAGCCTTGAATGACACACCTTTCTTCTTGTCATCGTCCTTCTTCTCATTTTGGTCAACCCCTTCCCTTTCCACACGGTAAGTCTCTTGTGTCATGATATCACCTAGTACTTGGTTAGGGATTGTATCCTTCAATCCTCCTCTAAAGATAATCAATCTCAATGTTTCAAACCTTGGAGGTAGGCACATCAAGAATCGATGGGAGAAGTCATCATCTTGCACCTTCTAACCCAATGCCTTGAGATAATTGACAATCACTTGTAGCCTATAAAACATTTCTAGGATGCTCTCATCATCCTTCATCTTGAGAAGCTTGTCAACTTATCCTTGAGGATATATAGCTTAGCACTCTTGACTGCCAGTGTGCCCTCATAGGTTTTCTCTAATCTCTTCCATGCTTCACTTGCTCTCACACAATATTTGATTTGCTCAACACCTTTGAATCAATTGCATTGTATAAGGTGTTGAGAGCCATAGTGTTGCATTGCTTGTTTGCTTTGTCATTGTTAGTGAGGTTGGTGGCATCAAGAATTACAAAATCACTTTCGGTCACTTCCCACACTTGATCATTGATTGAACGCAAATACATCTTCATTTTTCTCTTCCAATAATCATAGCACGTGTCATCAAAGTAAGGTGGTTTGCCCCCAACATGGTTGAACACTATTTGAGCCATCTTTTGACATTGAAGGTTGTGAAGCCTTGATTAAACGGTGACCAGGGCTCCAATACCAGTTGAAAGATCCTAAATGGCCAGAGGGGGGTGAATAGCCTATAAAAATTCTCTACAAATTCACTAGAGCAAATAGTTAGAAACCTAAATGCCGATATGCAATTTTGCTCTAGCTCTACAAGGGTTGCAAGCCACCTATCCAATCAATTCTAGTTGACTACAATCTCTACGCGCACACAATAGCTAAGTCTCTACTCCACTAAGCTAGTTAGCTAGCTAACAAGTAATTGCTTCTAACAAGAACTAGCTAGCAACTAATTCTACACTACACAAGAGAGAGCAGCACTAGCTACCGCAACAACCACTACACAAGTATATGAATGTAAATACAAGAGTGATAGAGATGATATACCAAACGTGGCAAGAGACAATATGATCACCAAGTGAAAACCAAAGAGCCAATTGACACACAATTTATCCTGAGGTTCACTTGCTTGCCGGCAAGCTACGTCCTCATTGTGACGGCCAATTCACTTGGTGGTTCATGAACTAATTGGCACCATGCCAAGCCCTTCACTAGGGCGTCGCAAGAACCTACTCAAGATGAGGGTGCTCAATGTCATGAGCAATCCACTAGAGGTGCTTTTAGCGCTCCGTCGGGGAATAAGCCCAAGAACCCCTCACAAATCCACCGGGAGATGGCCACGAACAATCACCAACTCGTACCGACCACCTCAAGCTACTCCAAGCCGTCTAGGTGGCGATAACCAGCAAGAGTAACAAGCAATCCCACAGCTCACGCGATCACTAGTGCCACTAGATGCTCAAACACTAAGCAAATGCACTAAGATCTCTCCCAATCTCACCTTGGACGAAAAAATCAATAGCTAGACGAGTGGGAGGTGTTGGAGTATGCTCTCAAGGTGTATCAATGAGTTAGAGAGCCAAGAGAGTGAGCAAGAGCTGGCCAACCCCTTTTTATAGAGCCCCGATAGCTCAAATAGTCGTTGGCCACTCACCCCAACTTTCTGCGTGATGACTGGACGCGTCCCAGCGTCCAGTCGCTGTAACAACACCACGTGTCCTGTTCAAACGAAAAGAGCCATTGGTGCCCAACGACTATTCTTGCACGCACAGTCATCACAAGATCGGACGCGACGCTCAATCGAACGGATGCTCCACCACCGTGAGTTCGGTCATGTCTAGAGAGCTCCCAGAGCTGCTCTGAGATGACCGGACGCGTTCGATCGTGCCTACCGGACTCTACCAGAGTTCGACAAATTATATTACCGAGACATAGAGCACCCAAAACCACACCATATGCGTTTGGTCGCTCTGCCTCACGCATGTCAGTTAGTGAACAATGTTCCAGTTGAGTCCGATCGCTCCCAGGGGGCAGTGTCCGATTATCCCGGCCATCCTGGCCGAGCCCAGGGTTACACACCGGACCTGTCTGGTCCTCCCGAGGAGCGCATCCGGTCACCCCAGTGACCTCAATTCCAACTTCCAACTTCATCCCTTGTGCAAATGTGTTAACTCCACTAAGTTCCATCACCTGTGCACGTGAGTTAGCATTTCACAAACAAGTTTTTCCAAGGGATGTTAGCACTCACTAGGTCCTAATGCAAATGCATGTGTCAAATCACCTAGTGGCGCTTAGATAACCCTATTGACCTTGAGATCACCCCTCTTAATAGTACGGCTATCTATCCTGAATACACTCACACCCTCTATGGTGTCTTGAGTGCCAAAACAAAAACCTATTTGATACCTTTGCCTTGATCAACACTTGGTTTTTGTTTTTCTCTTTCTTCTTGTCCAAGTTGGAGCTTGATCATCATCATCACATGTCCATCTCCACCTCCATGAACTTCATTACCATGCTCCATCACTTGGTGTGTACCAGCCTTGCTCACATGACACTCATGACAAACCTTAGTACTTAGGTTTCATCAATTACCCAAAACTAAACTAGGGCTTTCAGCTGACCAGACCTTTTTCCATGGGGGAATTAGTGGAGGCAATAAGAGAGATGAAATCTAGTACTGCTCCTGGGCCTGATGGTTTCTCCACAATTTTCTTCAAAAGTTTTTGGGGGCAGTTGAGAGATGATATATTGGAGATGTTACAGTTGCTTCACAAAGGTGAACTGGATTTGGCTAGACTAAATTTTGGTGTTTTATTTGGGGCTGCTGCCAAAGATCAAAGAAGCTAATCAAATTAAGCAGTAAAGACCCACATGTTTACTCAATGTCATTTATAAGATAATTACCAAAGTCCTTACTATTAGACTGAATGTTGTGATTAGTAAGTTGATCAGTGTGACACAAACAACTTTTATTCCTGGCCATTTCATTTTAGATGGTGTTTTGATTGTTCATGAAGTTCTACATGAATTGAGGTTAATTGGAATTTTTTGAAGGAGGTTTTGAGGAGGAAGAATTTTGATGAGAAGGGGATTGATTGGATTATGAGAGATGTGCAAGGAGGGAGAGTGGCTGTAAATTTGAATGGTGAACTAGATTTTGGAAAGAGGTTTGGTTAGAGGAGTGTCCCCTAATTATTACTTTTCTAGGCTTTTCAATGCCATCAGTGGAGAGAGATGGAAGTTGCAGCTAGAATCTGAGCTATAGAAGGAACTTTGGGGAACAAGAGATGGTCGAGTGGAGGGAGTGGATGTCAAAGTTGGAGTGTGTTATACTTGAAGAGGAGGATGATACAGTAATTTGGAAATTACAGACCTCAGGGAAGTTCACAACAAGGAGCATGTATATGTATATAACTTTTGGAGGAGTCATTGATCTTAGGATGATGGAGATTTGGAATGCTAGAATACCTACGAAATAAGTTCAAATCTTCCTTTGGATGGCCTGGCATGACATGATTCAAATAGCTCAATAGTTGAGGAGAAGAAATTGGGATGGGTCTAAAGTGTGCAAGTTCTGTGGAAAGGAGGAATATGTAAACCACCTTCTGATTCAATGTCCAATCTCGGTGGTAACAAGGTATTGGGTCAGAGATAGCCTAGGGTGGGCTACCTCCCCCACTTCCATCCTCAATTTTCATGAGAACTTTTTAGCTAGTGCTGGTGTGGATAATGGACTGTTGTGGTGGGTGATTGCGGCAGTTGGATGGTCTTTGTTGAAGACCAAAAATGATCTAGTTTTTTCTAACATTGTGATCAAAACTCCCAAACAAGTGGCTTACAAATCAATGAAACAGTGGACCAAGCCGGCGAAGAAGGACTGTAGCATGAAGGAATCTTGGGTGGAGAAGCTGAAGGAAGGACTTGCTCAATGGTGATCTACGCCTAGAGATGGTGTTTCTCTGTTTTTTTTCTGCTTTTGCTTAGGCTGGGATCTTGTCTTGTCCTTAGGCGTGATGGTTGTATTAGCGATGGTGTGGTTGCTTTTGTGAGGCTGGAGGGTTTTGTGTTTGGGTTTATGTTTTGTAATGATCTGTAAGCTGGCAACCCCAACAGACCTCTTTTTAATAAGCTTTCAATATAAGCTAGGTTGAAAGACCTTTTGTCTAAATTTTTTTGAGCGAATAGTGGGATGCAGATTTAGACTGCTTTGAATAAAGTGCTAGCCTACATAAGGCCTTCTGCATAAGGAGTAGATACATTTCTATATAAATTCGATCAAAGTTAGAGAAGTGAGACTGAGAACAAAATTAGAGTTTTTATAATTTGGAACAAAAGATTATGACTCTGTGCTCTAGTGATGTGGATCCTAAGACATTTGACCTCCTTTGGCATGCATGGAATCGTCGAGATGCAAGTCAATACGTCCTGTGCTATTTGGAAGAAATGTGTGTGATATCCGTTTCCTGCAATTGGAACTATAAGCACCGGACGGAACTTGATTGTGTCTACGTACGTACGTCGTCCAACATGGAGCCGTGCGTAGACAAGGAGCGACAGACAGCGTCGATCGCTTGCACAGCAAAGCAAGAGCATGGTATAGCTTCTTGATCAGGAGCACACGTGTGTATATATATATATCGGAGCTAAGTTGGCTGGTCGACCAGCGAGCTGCTAGCTAGCTAGCTAGGCATCCTTAGTCACCGACGACCATGGGCAGCATCGCGCTTCTCGTCGTCGTCTGCACGTCGTCGTCGTGGCTGCTCCTCCCTCACCCTGCTGCGGCGGCCACGGCACCGAAGCTGCCTGTTCGGGCGGTGAACCTCGGTGGCTGGCTGGTGACGGAGGGCTGGATAAAGCCGTCCCTCTTCTATGGCATTCCGAACAACGACACCATGTCGCTCGATATATATATATATAATATATATATATATATATATATATATATATATATATATATATATATATATATATATATGTTGATGTCATATTTGTTAAGTTTTCGTGGAAACTAGCTGTGCGCGCGCATAATATATATATATATATATATATATATATATATATATATATATATATATATATATATATATATATATATATATATATATATATATATATATATATATATACACACACACGGTAAGGCTATTCTATGGCTGGCCATAGAATAACTTATTCTATGGTCACCTTGATTTACGATAATATTTGTACCAATTTACGATAATGACAATACACATTTACCATACATGGGTTAATATAATTCAAGATGATACTTACCATAATGCTATAGTAAATCACTTATGATGGAGTTACCATAATCTCGTAAATTAACTTAAAGTGATCACAGAATAACTTATTCTGTGACCAGCTACAGAACAGTACGTGTGTATATATATATATAGGGGTGGTGTGTGTGTGGTGTGTGTGGTGGGTGGGGGGGGGGGAACCCAACTCCAGTTCATGTCGGTCACCCAGAAAAGGTACCTCGTTGCTGACAAGGGAGGGGGCGCCGCCATCCTTGCCGACCGGATGAACGCGTCCGGCTGGGAGACCTTCGGGGTCGATCAATTAATCTTGCCCAACCGTAGTATATGCACCTTTTTTCTTACTCTATCCGTTCTAAATTATAAGACGCTTTGATTTTTTTGGTACATTCATTTTGTTATGCATCTAGATATAATAATATGTTTAGCAAAATGGATGAACTAAAAAATTCAAAACGATTTATAATTTGGAACGGAGGAGTACTAAATAACCAAACTTGTTCTCAACTAGTCGTACTTTATGATCCATGCATGCAGCTGTGGAGGATCAACGAGACGACCTTCAACTTGAGGGTGAACGGCGGGCAGTTCTGGGGCGTCAATAGTACCGGTGCGCTTGTGGCGACGGCCACCACGCCTGGGCAATCCGAGACGTTCCAGCTCATGCGCAGGGACAGCGACAAGAGCCGAGTGCGCATCAGGGCGCCAAATGGGTTCTTCTTGCAGGTACTTCTAACTCATATACTAAGATTTTACCGATAAATTAAGTCAAAATTCTTGTGCTTATTATAAATTTCATTCAAGACCCCCCCCCCCCCACCTCCTGTATATTCTATGAAAAATGGTTTTTAGATCAGAGACTTCACTCTTAGTTTCTATGATGACATAAATAGTCGTTTAAAGCTACACTACAACAATCATGATGGACGGGAGATCTTTAAGTGATACCTAGGAGGGACTAATAGGGCACCTTAACTCCTCAAGAGGATATTAAACCTTAAGTCTATTGTGTTTACTCAAAATAAGTCAGAAAACTAGCGAGGTCATAGTCACTAACCTCGTCCATTGCTAAAGATGTTGATTTTTTATTAAATAACTATGTGTAGAAGCAATTTATTTTTTTTATTAAAAATAGAGTGCTATAATTATACTATGAATAAAGATATGTCATAATGTTTCAATTATATATAATTAACAATTTACATTAGTTAATATGATAGAAATTAACGTAATTTAAAATAATTTGTTAGTGTCATTGTTATATGTGGAATAGTTTCATGATTGCTGAAACATAAAATATATATTCATCTTTCGTACATGTAAACTTGATCAAGATCATGGTACTGTATTTATGTTTTCTTAAGTTTTCTTATATATCAAGAGTAATAGGAGTTGGGATCACAAAAAAAAAGAGTAATAGGAGTTGGTAATCCAAAAATATATAGGCGTGTGTTTAAACAGTTTTCCAAGCATATATATTGGTAATGTAGATGCTGGTTTGAGAGGAATTTTTGTTTATTTTTCAATCATAACAAAAATGTTAATGTAGATGAGAATTTAAGTGCTTACTTAGATGTATCCTAATGGTAGGGTGGGAAATTTAAATGAAAATTAGTAAATTGTTATTTATTATGTTTCATAATAGCATATGCAGGTAATTTAGTTGCAAGGTATTATTTTTATTGTCTTTTATAATGGCATAATAAATGGGTAATTTATTTGCAAATTTAGGGGCTTAATTAACATTTCTAGAAAACTAAATAAATCCAATGGCTATATTATTATCATGGTGATTGGAGTCTATTAATTCATAACTAGATCTTTCTAATTACACATAATATTCTATTAAAAAGAAACAAAGTACATATATATATAGTATATATTATACCTGTGATTATGAGTTTTCTAACATATGTTAGTGCTTCACAACAAAATTTTCTCCCTTCTGATGCTGTTAGGCGAAGACAATGGCATCAGTGACGGCGGACTATGGCCAGAATACAAAATGGAGTGACAATGACCCCTCAGTTTTTGTAGCAAACAATGTGGGTGGCTTACGAGGGGAGTATCAGTTATGCAATGGCTATGGCATAGCAAATGCAACACAGGTGCTCATGGTAAGATATGTATATCCAAACACATTGTTTTCTGAGGCCGCTTCATTAGTCTGATGATGAACATATGTTCTTTACACGTGTTGCTAAAATAACTGATCTCTACTCAATGGGTGGTAAGAGGTGAACCTAACAGAATGATGGAACACATCATATAGAAGAATCCATAACAGATTCATGATATGGGCATGCCGTATGCCCGTATTGGTAAATATGTTTGATCCATGATACGACCAATATCCCTACTAAATAAATGGGTTAATAGGTGAAACCTAACAGAATGATGGAACACACCATTTAAGAACTCATAACGGCCATGGATGATACGGGCACAGCGGCACGCCATATTGGAAACGGATTGATGGAACACATCATATAAGGATGCATGCATGATTGGTCTCAATGAGTCTTTACCTGTTCCATTTCGGGTTGGCGATACTTTCGAAATTGACCAATAAACCGGTGAATAAACAGGACTCTCTTGTTATTTTGAAATGTTTGAATGACGGAATGCATGAATGAATCTTGCGAAGAAACTTTCACACACTTAATTTTTCCAGTAGCAATCATTTATCTTTTGCTTATTAATCGGCAGAAAGAACTTTTTCTTGAGAAATTAAGATAAGCACTTATGCTGCAAAGACTTTATTCGGACATGATTAACAATAGTTACGAATCACGTTGCTTGTAGTTCGGACATGAATGTTGTTTGTTTTCTTATTATTAGAACCACCGGAACATATTCATAACTGAGAGGGACTTCAATTTCATGGTGTCAAGTGGACTGAATGCGGTGAGAGTCCTGGTTGGATGGTGGATTGCAAGTGGCGACAACCCTCCTCCTCCTTTCGTTGGAGGCTCTCTCCAATTCTTGGACAAGGCATTCAGCTGGGGACAGTAAGTGTGTCTCTAGATCTCCATTCAGCAACAAACATTTGTCGACCTATAGTATATACATATAGCAATTATATTGAACTATATATTTCATTTGCAATTTCATGTCCATCAAGGAATGACGGAGACTTATTGTAATTTGTGTTAACAGGAAATACAACATTAGTGTTATTGTCACATTGCATGCTTTGCCGGGGTCACAGAACCCATATGAGCACAGCGCAACCAGAGACGGGTCACAGGAGTGGGGCAATACCGATGCAAACATCGCCCAAACCGTGCAAGTCATCGACTTCCTTGCAAAAAGGTCATTAACGAAAATTCATTAGCAATATAGTTTTCTGTAGCCTTAATGATCGATTGATAACGAGATGCTCTGCTCTATATATCTCAGGTACGCGAACAACACAGCCCTCTTGGCCATCGAGCTGCTCAATGAGCCGTTGGCACCGGGAGCAAATCTGTCTGTACTGATGAAATACTACCAGGACGGCTACAATGCAGTGCGTCGGTACACGCCGGCATCCTATGTGATCATGTCTAACAGGCTAAACATAGCAAACCAGACCGAGATCCTTCAGTTCGTGGGCAGCTTCGATGGCGCCGTCCTCGACGTACATTACTACAACCTGTTCGACAGCAAGTTCGACAACCTTGTCACTGCGCCAAATTTTTACTGTAGTAACGGGGGCATTTTTACTTTGTAGGTAATTTGGGGTTAGCGGCTCCCTACATTAGGCGCCCTCGGGCTGAGCAAAAGAGCCCAGCCACCCCTACAGATGAGATCAGAGGGGCGGCTGATAACATGAGCCGCCCCTACAGTTGGGGTTGATCTGTAGGGGCAGCTCAATCACCGGCCGCCCTGTAGTGCCTATTTGTCTTTTTTAAAAATTCAAAATTTAAAAGATTCAAATTTAGTCAAATGATAAGATAACCAAAATAAAAGTTGTAGATATTGATGAGTTGAACAACTTTTGTATTCATTACTTTTACATCTAAAATCATTTATGGTTTTAAAATTTGATTTGAACTTGTCAAATTTCAAATTTCAAATTTTAAGATATGTAAAACATTGTCACATCCAAGTTTGATCAAACTTAAATACTGAAGCATGATTTTAGAAATTTTTAGGAAAAAAAGCCATCACATTTGGAGTTAGTATAAGGGAGAACAACTAGTTACAAAGTTTATCCACAGATTAAAAAGAGAAATCACACTGTTCTAGATGATCCTTACATGATCATACTGAACAGTGTGATTTCTTTTTTTAATCTATGGGTCAAATTTGTAACTAGTTTTTCTTCCTCATACTAACTCCAAATCTGATGATTTTTTTTCCTAAAATTTTCTAAAATCATTCTCTATCAATTTATTTTGTTGGTTTTGTCAATATATACATATGAAAAATTTGAGCAATTTAAATTTTGAATTTCAAAAAAATGCAACTTCAGATAAGATTTTGGTACCCCAAATGATTTCAGCTGAAAAAGTGATAAATACCAAAGTTGAATAACTCATCAAGATCTACAACTTTTATATTGGTCATTTCTTCATATGACAAAGTGGTAGTGACATTGTTCACAAATGTGACACATCTCTCGTATGGTTTTATAAACTATATGAGACATGTGTAAGATTAGTGAACAATGTATGCTAAAAAATTGTTGAATGAAGAAATGACCAAAATAAAAGTTGTAGATCTTCATGAGTTGAACAACTTTGGTATTCATCACTTTTTATGTTGAAATCAATTTGGGTCTCAAATTTTGGTTCGAACTTGTCGTTTTTCAAAAATTTAAATTTGAAAGGTTCAAATTTTGTCAAATGACAAGATGACTAAAATAAAAGTTGTAGATATTAATGAGTTGAACAACTTTGGTATTCATCACTTTTTATGTTGAAATCAATTTGGGTCTCAAATTTTGGTTCGAACTTGTCATTTTTCAAAATTTCAAATTTGAAATGTTCAAATTTTGTCAAATGACAAGATGACTAAAATAAAAGTTATAGATATTAATGAGTTGAACAACTTTGGTATTCATCACTTTTTATGTTGAAATCATTTTGGGTCTCAAATTTTGGTTCGAACTTGTCATTTTTTAAAATTTTAAATTTGAAAGGTTCAAATTTTGTCAAATGACAAGATGACCAAAATAAAAGTTATAGATCTTCATGACCTCTACAACTTTGGTGTTTATCAAATTTTCATTTAAGATCATTTGGTGTCTCAAAATTATTTTAGTAGTTTCGAACTAAAGCTGATATCTCAGCTGTATCACAGTATAATTTACCTACACAAGCCGGACATGCTCCTCCGACAGGAGCCCTGTCCATGTCGGCGGAAATTTTTTCCTCCGTCGAATTTTCGAATCGATGGCCCAGATCTCTTGAATCTGATTCTCGTCCGGAGCAGTTTCCCGTCGTCCTCTCCGGCTTCTTCGAGTTCTTCGCGCTCTTATTTACCTTCTACGGCTTCTTCTCAGAATCCAGCGAAACGAACATAATATCCAGCTTCTGATTTCCCTTCCCCAAACCTCTGCTTCTCCTTCCCCTTCCTCGCTCTCTCTCGTCCGCTCCCTCCCTCTCCCGATCTCTCCCACGCTGCGGTGGGGCGGCCACGCGGCGCCAAAGAATGGCATGGCCTATGGATGATCGCCTCGTCCTCCTCCGCCGCCTCCCACGGCATGCCGGCCGGGCAAGTGCCGTCGGCTCATCAAGGCCCCGGCCTCTACCATGGCATCAGCAAGGCGTGGCTTGGCCGTGGTGGCTGTCCCCTGCCATGGCGCTTGGCGTGATCGGAGCCTCGCCGGTGGCTGCCCGCCAGCGTGCTCGCCCGGCGCCGCATCCTCCTCTCTAGCATGGGCGTTGATATGCTACTGAAACCCTAGGTTGGGAGCTCCTAGCGCCGAACCCCGCCCCGACTCTGTCTCTCTCTCTCTCTCTGCCACGCCGAACCCGCCCCCGTCTCCTTTCGCTCCCTGTGGCGTGTGCACCTAGCTGAGGTCCTCCTATGGCTGTAGTTCGATTTTATGCCTCTGTATTTTTTTAGATGTACCTCGATTTGTTTGTTGCAGGTTCTTGATTTGGTACACTCTGTCAAGCATGGCGGTCGACAAGAGGTGCGTGTATTCATGCATCCTTCTCGAGAGATACGATTCAAACATGTTCGAACCTTTGTTACATGGTCATTAATTTTTTGGTGCATACTAATGCTGCTTTGGTTGTCTCGAAATTATTTGTCATCAACTAATGCCGCTTTCATTTCTTAGTAGTTATCTTTGGTTATGACTACGTAAGTTTAATAGCAATATGATAGAATCCCTCGCGAGTGCTGCTTTTTTTCTTATATGTTGGTGATTTCCAACATGTAAAGGAATTTGTAAGAACCCATGGTAGGTGCAAGAGAGGATTCTTAGCTACAATCTGCTTGGAAATTGCATACAATAGTTAAGATCCTGCATTATTACCTCTAAAGAATATGATAAAATATTAAAATGCAGTTCCCAGAGGTAATTCTGTCATGGTTCTATGCAGTTCTAATTTTGTGAAATTTAGTCCATGTTAGCTTAAGTGCCATTCAAATTCCAGATTTCGGTTAGCGGCCAAATTATGACCGCAAAATCACATCCTTTTACGATTTTAGAGGCGATTTTGGGGTCACGTTGCTCTAGCTCCCCTACCGTGGTCAACCTTCTGATTCTAAACCGAGATTTGGTTATGATCAGATGATCTTAGCGTCTGCCGTTTGCTATTTTTTTCCCTTCTTGAGCCTGTGATGAAAATTCCATATGCATTGCTCAATGATATGATCTGATGTTCGTTCGCTTGTGAGATACTCGGCATGGGTGTTACTTATATGATGCAATTTCGAGGGTCAACCAGTTATCACCATGCCTTGAGGCTCCAAGTTGATGAACAAATGATGATCATTGCTATGTTTCGAGCCCTCTATTCGGAAGGCCTCCCCGGTAGCGAGTTGGTACACGCCGCCCTAGAACTGCGATTGGTCCATGCCAAAGACCGCATCATCTTCGTCTTATCTCGATTGGTCCACCTCAAAGAACGACTTCCAATACAAGCAGCCGTCCCTCTCGCCTTTGCTATTGTTTCCTTCTTGAGCCTGTGATGAAAATTACATGTGCATTGCTCAATGATATGATCGATGTTCGCCGCTTGTGAGGTATCGGGCATGAGTGTTATGTTACTTGATATCATGTAGTTTCTGAGGGTAAACCAATTAGCACCATGCCTTTTTTTGGCCATAAGTTAACACCATGCCTTGACGCTCCAAGTTGATGAACAAATGATGATTGCTATGTTTCTGAGGCCTCTAAAAATCATGTCTTCGTTTACAAAAGATTCTTATCTTCTTCACTGTGATGGTATGGTTTAGTAGATTCTAATGAATCAAAGACCAAAGTTTTCTATCGCTTAAAGAAGCCCTTCATATGCAAAGTATAATCATCCACTAAAGAGAGCTAAACCTTGTAGTCATTTGATCGAGCATATGGTGGGTGTCGTCCATGGCACTGTCCCTCGCAGCTAGATCCATATATGTTGTGTCGTGTAGTACTAAGAGAGAGTGAGTTCCATGTAGTTGCTTAAATGCTTCTTATTGGTAGTGTTTATTTCTCTTTTGTGAAAAAGTCGCTGTAATCTTTCTCTCTGGTTAGTCCTTTAGACATGATCTTTGCCTCATGTCGTTATGTCACTAAGTAAACCTTGGCACAAGGATTTAGTTCAAGTGGTTGATTTTGTTAAATCTGTCATCATCGACTTGTTCTTTAAAGAGTATGTCCCTGAAATTGGCTTAAGTGATGTTCTCCTTTGTTTTCATACCTTGAACTTTGATTAAGTTGTTATTTGTGTATCTCGTACTGCATTTCAGGACGAGATAAGTTTTTGAAGGTCATAGAGTTTCTTCACGACAATTTCATCAAGATACTTTGGTAGGAATATAATTGTCGGTTCTATGAGAATTTTATCTATGACTTTGGAATTTTCTTGAGTTGTGGTCTGTGTTGCCAGCAGTTTGTCTATATCAACAAAGTGCATTTTCACCAAACCACGATGAACTGGTAATTGACTTGTATAATGTAAGATTCTAACTTAAATGTACTTGTACCAAGCTTTACCTTGGAAATTGATATCTAATTATCTATGCATACATTTTGTTCGATATGCTATCTCCACATGTATCTGTACCACTTTGTCACAACTTGCAATATCCAAACTTGAATTTCTTTTAGTAATTGGTTTCAATATATGTTCTATGCTCTATACACAAAGTCCTGGGAACTAAAAATAAAACTTGGGATATTTCCGGCTTCTATATGTGGTGTGGTACTGTTTTGTTGGGTTCGAGTTTGTGCAACATGGAAGCTTTTTACCTTTGATTCTCGAGAAAATTGATTTATAGCACATGTAACTTATGGTAGTGTCATCTAAGTGCATCAAATTGATTCTTTCATTTTTCTCGTATTCTTTCAGATTGGTGGACTACTGGTGTATACCTCTAAGTGCATCCAAGTTCTTCACTCCTGTGAGTATCTTGGTCTAGTGATAGCTCCATTGTGCTTCATCTGTCATTTCTCGTTGTGCACTAAATTAGCATGAGTTAAGATTGAAGTTTGTGGTTGCAATCGATATCAACATGACTTCGAAGGATTGTAGAAAATATGAGATAAAATTCTATATTTACGAGAGAATGATAGAAGCTGTCACAATAGTTTTTGATAAATTATTTACTCTTGTCATGTTTTTCAACATGGAAGCTAATACTTGCAGCCATCTAAAGTTTTCAACATGGTCTTGTGTTTGTGGATGTATATATGTATATTTGTGGTGGTCGATTCGAATTTGAATTATATATATATATATGTGGTCGATTTGAATTTGAATTATTTATTTTTTTTGTTGGAAAATCCATTGTAGGGGCGGTTCTTGATTGAACCGCCTTACAAATACACTACACAGAGGCGGTGGTGATGACACCCGCCCTTATAGAAGTCCACTATAGGGGCGGTGATATTACCGGCCGCCTCTCAGAGGGAAGCAGGTAGCGGTGGTGAAAACACGGCACGCCCTACAGAGGGCACTTCAGAGGAGGGTGAAAACACCGGCCGCCCCTACAGAGGGCACCGCAGGGCGGTCAGAAACCACCCCCACAGAGGCACCTCTATAGGAACACCCTAGGAGGGGCGGTGGGCACTGCCCGCCCTCACAGAGGCTCTAGAGCCGCCCCTACAGTTAATTTCTGTAGTAGTGTGTTGGCGCCTGGATCTCCGGTACGGGTGAGCCGATCCCTCACCAGCATTGCTGACCACACATTATGGCTAGAGATAGAAGAAGGGAGAAAGAACAGAGCGTGCACACACACAGCAGAAGCACCAGCAACTCTACCCATCTAATCCTAGTACATAGATATGTCAGGCTGCCATGCTGCTACAGTAACTAGATATGACAGCAGGGCTGACTTTGGCGCCTGCCCCTGCTGTGGCTACAGCATGGCAGAGGAGCCTTTCGACGTCTACCCATGCAGCGGCTACAGTGCAGCAGCAGTGAACCCTTTAGGCGCCTGTCCCCTGCCACGCGTTCACACAGAGGAGCAACAAATTATTTAACAATTCTTCCCCTAATCCTGCTGCTAACCATAGAACCTTCTTCATGCCGATCATCTTCTTCAGCTCCATGAACCGAAGACGGCCGAGCGGCTTGGTGAGGACGTCCGCGAGTTGTCGACCAGTTTCGACGAATTCGATGACGATCTGTCCTCCATCGATACAGTCCCTGAGGAAGTGGAACTTAACGTCGATGTGCTTGCTCCGATCGTGGAGAACCGGATTCTTCGCAGGGGCGATGGCGGGCTGGATGTCCACCATTAGTGCTGGTGGGTGAGTTTCCACACCAGTCAGCTCGCCCAGCAGCCGGCGCAGCCATACAGCTTGGCACGCCGCTGTGGCCGCCGCCACGTACTCTGCCTCGTACGTGGACAGCGTCATCACCTTCTGTTTTCACGACAGCCATGAGATTGGAGCCGATCCGAGGAAGACGAGCACGCCAGAGGTGCTCCACCGTTCGTTGATGTCCCTTGCCATGTCTGCATCACTGAACATAGTGAGCTGCAGCCTACTTCCACCGGTCTTGGGAAAGACGATCCCCTGATCCACCGTCCCCTTGACATAGCGCAGCAGCCGCTTTACCGCAGCCCAGTGATCCTTTCGGGGATCCTCCATGAAGCGGCTGATGTAGCCCACAGCGAACGCAATGTCTGGCCTCGTGTGAACTAGGTAGCATAGACCACCGACGATGCTCTGGTAGAGTGTTGCATCTACCTTCGCCGCGGTACTGGCCTTCGTTAGTTTCAGCCACTCCTCTATCGGAGTTACGCACGGCTTACACTCAGCCATGCCACTCCACTCCAACAGCTTTGAGGCATACGCGCTCTGACCGAGCGTGAGCGTCTCCTTCCCCTATCTCACCTCGATGCCAAGGTAGTAGGAGAGCGCGATCGAGATCGCTCATTTGAAAATAAGCCGCCATCTCATGCTTGAAGCTATCGATGTCCTCCGTACGCGCGCCGATGACGATCAAGTCATCCACATACACGCCGACGATGAGCTCCTCCTTCCCCCGTCGCTGCGTGTAGAGCGCGTGCTCGGTTGCGCACCATGTGAACCCAAGCTTGCCTAGCGTGGCATCAAGCTTAGCGTTCCACGCTAGCAGGGCCTACCGCAGCCCGTAGAGAACACCTTGCGTAGTCCAAGTACCCTGTGCTCCGCTCCCTTGATGACAAAACCCAGAGGTTGCCTGATGAAGACCATCTCCGCTAGCTCACCATTAAGGAAGGCCGATTTTACGTCCAGGTGATGGACATGCCAGTCCTTCAGCTGCTGCCAAAGCCAGAAGCAGTCGGACAGACTCCATACGCGCTACCGGCGCAAAGAGTTCCTCGAAGTCGATGCCCTCGCGCTGGACAAAGCCTCGGGCGACGAGGCACGCCTTGTGCTTGACAATGGCCCCACGCTCATCCCGCTTGACCTTGTACACCCACTTTAGGCCAATCGGACAGCATCCTGGAGGTGGATCGACGAGTTCCCAAGTCTCATTTTCTTCGATCGCCTTCATCTCCTCCAGCATTGCCCGTCGCCAATTTACATCACGCTCGGCCAACACGAACGTGGGTGGTTCCTCTGCACTGACGAGAAGTAGCTCTAGGTCATTGAGTAGCCAACCCGCTAGGGCTGAGGACCCCGTGCCACCGACGATGTCCTCCAGCCTGTGGAACCACACCTCCTCACCATCATGGAAGGCATCCACGAACTCGGTGATGTCGCTTGGAGGTGAGGCGAACTCGATCGGTGTTGATGGAGTCCCCTATTCCGTCAGAGTCAGCACAGCACCTAGAGTGCTCGGCACCCTGGCTGCGTGTGCTCGGTACTACTCCTAGATTGCTCTTCACCGCTCCTGGAGTGGTGGGCACCACTGCAGGAGTGCTCGGTACTAGTCTTAGAGTGGTTGGCACCACTGCAAGGCCTCTCAGCTCCGCTACGGCAGCGTTCGACACTCGTTCTAGAGTGGTCGGCACCACTGCAGGACCGCTCAGCACCACTCCTGGAGTGCTTGGCACCACCTTAGGAGTGCTCGGCTCTATTGTTGGAGTGGTCGACACCTCCTCTCCAGCGTCTCCACCACCATGGATGACCAAGTGCTTGACGACGAAGGTGCAGGTGAAGCCACCAGCTTCCCCATGCCCGGACTGTCCCAGTCCTAGGCCGCCTTCTCGTCGAACATAACGTCATGTGAGACAACCACCTTGCCTTGGCGTGAGTCGTAGAGCCGATACGCCTTGGTACCTTCCTCGTTGCCCAGGAGCACCATCGATGTGCTCCTGTCCTCTAGCTTGGTGAGGACCGGCTTCGTCTTCCTGACGTGGCCGATGCAGCCGAATGTCCGGAGGAAGGACACGCTCGGCTTGCGCCCATACCAAGCGTCGCCGGCGTGATCGGCCCACAGAGGTCACCATGGACCGGCTCGAGGGTCTCTACCGCACGGTACTTCGCCGTCTTCGGGAACAACAGCCTTCTTTGCTTCCTGGCTAGGCGTCGACGAAATATGGTCGGTAGTCTACCTAGGGGTATGCCCAAGGTAGTAGATTATCAGCAGACAGGTGCGCAAGCTACTAATGAGATGGTGATGCAAGACAGACACGAGGTTTTATCCAGGTTCGGCCACCGTGAGGGCGTAATACCTACGTCCTACGTCTGATTGTATTGCTGTATGTAAATGAGATCGTGATGTTTTGAGAGGGGTCCCCTGCCCGCCTTATATAGTCTGGGGGGCAGGGTTACAGATCTGGAAACTAACCCCAACCGATTACAATTGTCATAGGTGGCCGGATAAGGATTCCTATTCTAACCAACCAGGATCTTGCTTGATCTCCAAGTCTGCCTTGATTCCTTGCGTGGGACTCTGAGCAGATCGGCTGGGCCGCGCGTCGTCTTCTGGTGGGCCGGACCCCCTGGTCCGGGCCGGCCCAAACCTAGCCGTAAGGTTATAGGAGTTAATACCCCCACAGCTAGTCCTCGAGCGCCTTGTATCCTTCAAGTAGCGTCATCTTGAGCTTGCCAGAAGGATGTAAGGGGCTCAAGATAAAATTTGAAAAATATTTCCCCTGAAGTGTGCCCACTTTGACTCTGAGTTGAAAAGAGACATGACCGTCCTTGTAGAATTGGAGGCGTTTGAACCATCAGAACGAGCACATTCACCACAAGGTGATGTGTGCCCACTTAGTCCCCGAGCCTGGTAGTAGGTGACGTAGGCACGTGGTGCCAGGGTCTAAAAGAGTCTTGTTAATTAGATACAGCATGCACCATCAGGTGCATCGTACCGATGTAGTCCCCAAGC